CGCGTTCATGGCAAGCCGCACAGCGCTCCATGACAACCACAATCGACTGGTGACCATATTCCTGCGAAAGCTGGAATATTATCAAGGAGTTCTCTTCTTGACTTCGAATCGGGGTATTCAATTTGACGATGCAATTCTGAGCCGGATCCATTTGATCATCGAGTATGAAGACCTGAGCAAGGACTTTCGTAGAGGTCTCTGGTCAACCTTTCTGGCCAGAGCACGTACAATGCAAGGTCCTGCCCTTGTTGAGGAGCACGACCTCCGACGATTGGAGTCTTTAGCCCTGAATGGACGAGAGGTGGGTTCCAGAGCGCTGATATGTACTTCTCACTTGCTGACTGCCAGAAAGATCAAAAACATCGCGGCAATCGCACATGCTCTTGCTGAGGCGGACGCCAATCAAGTGAGCTATAAATACTTGGAGTTAGCCGCGGAATCAAGCAAGAAATTTTCAAGGGTGTTTGACAGAGAGAGGCCGGTTGATGGAATGTATGTCTAGCAGCATACCTGGGAAGGACAAAGAGGTAATTGCGTTGCTGAAGAAGTTGGGCTCTTGTTGCACCATACCTAGTTGGTACACGGGCTTGGAGAGGTCTCGAAGTTTTGTGAAGTAATGTTTTGCATTGTTTTCAAATGAACAGCCAGAACCTTAATGTACCGCTATATCGCAGTTTTCCACTCTTTTCAAGCCGTTCTTATATTCCCTTGCTCGGACGCAATGATTGCGTCGCGTATTGCCAGACGTGGGTTCAAGGGCCCGAGGGCGCTTCAACCATTTCACATCCTCCAAGTCAATGACGACCAGACGGCCACTCAGGTTATCCCACAGCATATTACGCCACGCACTGTCGCCGTGGATAACTCCGCGCGACCGAAGCACAGCCAGAGCTTTGTCGCGCTCTTGGTGGAAGAAGCTAGAATTCCCATCATTGATGATATGTTGAAGCCGCGTTCCAGACCAGCTCAAGATCATCATTCGGGCCATTAATTCGCCGTGGTACCAATATGCAACGCGAGGCTTAAAGTCCCCAAGACAGACAGGGATGTGTTGTCCCTGCAAACTCCTGAGATGGTGATAATTGTCCACTTCCGCTTGGAGGCGATGCTGCTTCTCCACAGTCGTAGCTTTAATGGTCACAGTGTATCCGCGCGAAAGGAGGGTGGCTTTCATGAGGTAGCCTGTCCGACCACAGACGTGCAGCTGTTCGAATCCAAGATCTCGATCTCGGGCAAGTTGACGATGAAGCTGGCGAGTGAACTCCTGCGGTCCCAAGGAGTGTCTCTGACCACCGTGGAGTTTCCAGTTAGGGCATTTTGTATCCAGAGGTTCTCGGTTGACCATACCACGGATGCAGGCGATGGTGCAGTATGGTCGTGTAGAATGCCTGTCTTTTCGAGAAGTCTGTTTGTTGCCCCGGTCGGCTCGTGTCCTTTCGCTTCCTCTAGTTGATTGGCAGTTGTTGCCTCGGCCGCGGCTCGATCGGCTGCGCGATGCTGCCGCGGTAGACGGCGAGTGCGATTCTTGATCACTGCCGCTGCCTTCAGTCGAGGAGTGCTTCGGTGTAGATGCACCTGGTTGACAGCTAGCGCGAGAGCGTGTGTTGTGTATTTTCCGATCTCGTTTCCGCTCTCGTTTCCAGTGCGAGGGCCGATAATTAGAGGCCCGCGGGTCTTTACGGAGAGTTTCGGGGATTTCTCTCAGCACGTCTAGATATTCGACCTTCCAGGTCGTTAACTTATCGTGTGCCGCATCGTGCCATTCTTGAGTCGGAGGTCCGACGGCCAGCGCTTGAAGGGTGAACGCAAGCACTTGACCGATGGCTGTCCGGTGGAGACGCAATCCATCGTCCGCCTGCACATCTTGATTCGGGATACACAAGAAATATTGAACAACGGTAGGATCATCCTCTGGGATGTGGAGGAAAACGAAAGCCTCTCCAGTACAGATGTAGCCGTATCGAACTCCACTGTCGACCATGTACGAGAATATCTGAGTGACCACGGCGGCAACGAGGCGGGTGGCATAAAATTCAAATGTGTCGCCTTCCTGGTCAATGACATCGCGAGCCAGATCCATCTGGTGTAGACCCGCCACTAATTCGGGGATTGTCGCCTTGTGCGGCGCTTTGAACTCCACTGCATACACTGGTATTTGTCGTTCATCAGCCACAAGGTGCACGCAGAACTGGTCGGCGCGGCGATTGCGTCTTCGTCCAGTACCATCCCTCTTCTGGCTCTGCGCCGTTCCTCTTCCCCTTCCTCTGCCTCTTCCACGTCTAGCGTTCGCCGGTCGTTGGGGTGTCCGCGCGTCCTGAAGATTCATCTGCTCCAGGCTGTTCTCCAGGGAAGTTTCCGATGGGTTTGCGCGGTCATAGAACGTGACTCGACCTTGGATTCCAAACTCCTGTCGAAGGGGTTCATCGTCTTGCAAAGCCTTAATGACTTTTTCAACAAAGTTATCCACCGTGTCTCGCTCAAAATTCCGAAGAGACGCTTCTGAATAGATTGGGCTATTCTGTATATTCGTAGCAACATAATCGATTTGGGTGTCAGAAGGGAAAAGGGCGCGCGAGGTAAAGGCAGCGGTGCGGTCGAATTTCTCCCAGACTTGTTCCTGTAGTTGGGGGAAGTCAAGCCAAGGGACGATGCGCTTAGGGTAAAGTCGGTTCACTGGGTCGGTCGCGTCGCCCTGTGTCGTGAGGGTCGCATCCGTCTCAACTCGGATTGCTTGAGACAGAGAGACATGACAGCGATCGAGAAGGCGAAACAGTGTGTTGGGTTGCACTCGCCGCTCTGCTTCTGCTCGCGCCTTTCTCTCTTCCTCTCGCGCTTGTCTCTCTTCCCCTTCACGGCGCTCTGCCGCTTCTCGGAGCCGTTGTTGTTCTTCAAGCTGACGTCGTAATTCGGCGATCGTTTCCTCCATCCCTTGTGGAAAGAAGTATTTATCAGACAATTGAACGAAACAAATTGAAGTCAACAGAGTAGGGGGGCCCAGGTGGCACAGGGAATGGACTGTTACGGGAGGATGCGAGTCTGGTTGTTTACCCGCTTACTCAACCCTTGGCTCAGATCAATCAGTGCCTCAGGCATTAATGCACGGAACTTCCGGTTGGTTTCAGGCATTGTCTCCAAAACATGCGCCGACTGATGGTATCTAGATTTGCCTCGTCAGTATAAGGATAAGTTCGGTCCTCCTTCCAATCCTCAAAGTACAGTCACAGTAGCGAGACGACTATTTCTATTGCATCACTCGCGAGGCCACTTCCGTCCTCCAATAAAAGCCATTTGCTTCGAAAGGATAACTTGCGTTATGATCTCGCTGTGAGGAAGGTGCATAACGAAGCTAGTAGTCAGCGGAAACTCTTTCCAAATAACAGAAAAGACGTACCTGCCCTATCTGCAATTTTCCTGTCTCCAGTAGCAGCCTCACCACCGCTTCGTGGCACTCCGACGCAGTCCCCGACGTAAGGTCTTGGTGGCATAAGAAAGTGGCGGTTCACCAGGTGGCTGTTCGAAATAGCTTTCTTCGCAGTCGTTGTTTTAAAGCACTGGAAGGGCGCTCGACCAATAGAAGCACGGTGTAAAGTCAGTGGAAATACTAGCCTGTAGTAACTTGTAGGTAGATGATACTAGATGTATGTCCTTAAGTTGGAGCCCACTTCGGATTCCCGTTCCGATATTCTTCTGGCCTTTCGGCGCAGCGAATTGGAAGGAACCAGAAACACTGATTACATCCCTGGGGACATTACTGTACCCTCCTAGGATCTTAACGCGATAGAAACTCCTGGAGATCGTATGGTTTGGCGCAAAAAGGAATCGCGGCTGCACAGGTTCTTCCAGTGTCGCGATTCTGAACCACCAACGGGGCGTCCGACCAACAGACAGTATTTAACTCGAACCGCCAAATTCAATCGGTGGTTCCGTACCGTACTGTAACAAAGCTCCTATCAATTCCCGCATCTGTCGTTACCTATAATTCTAAGCTACCTGACCACCCATCCCCGTGAGAAGAAATCAAATCGATATAACGACCGTTGTGGAGCTTTAGCTGGTACCCCAATTTTGCCCGGTATAAGAGCGGAAAGGTCCCATCGTGGTCTCTGGTGGGCCCGACGCATTCAGCAAGCGAGGCAGTCAAGGAAGATGGTGCGACCCCGGCCCATTTCACGTTTGTATGCACGACCCGGCTTTCTTGTCCGATCACGACTACACAATAAGCCGATACTTGGACTCTGCTTGAGATTCTATTTCTCCTGAAAGCCTCAAGCTACTCGTTTTTCCTCACATACGATCCCTAAATTGACTTTCGGTCAGTAGTGCCCGCGAGGAGACTGTCTGCATTAGTTACTGTAACACTTCCCACCACATTGGCTGAAATAGAAAAACAACAACAAAGCTCGCGGACATAGACCCCGTCGTGCAGCTTTTCGCATCCTCGCCACCAGTCTCAATAAGTCCCCAGCTTTCCAGTCAATCATTGACACGTTTACCCTGGAGAGAGCTGCCATAAAATTCACGCCAAGCAAACGCCTTGACAGACTCTTCCAATCAGTGATACCCTGCACCGATCACTGCGTGAGAGCTCGATGTAAAATTTCATCTACACAATTGCGTAAATAGCAGTCTAGAAACTTTCACCGGTACTGACTAGAGAATTTCAGTCTTTATCGCTGTGGAAAATGAACACAATTGGGTGCGAGAAATTGGGTGCGAGAAATTGGGTGCGGGAAATTGGGTGCGGGAAATTGGGTGCGGGAAATTGGGTGCGGAAATTAGGTGCGGAAATTGGGTGCGGGAAATTGGTGCGGCGATGAATTGGTGCGGAGATTCGCGAATTAACCCCTTATAAGGTTATTGCGGCGATTACAGTCGCGCCATCCCATCTCGCCCTTTAAAAGGTCCCATCCTGAACCTCCAGCTCTTCTCTCTCAACATCTCACCCCTCCTATCTATTATCAGGACTCGTCACTGCTTTCCAAACATTCACTATATTCACTATGCCCGTTAAGCGAGGAGCCCCGCGGAGGTCCTGCGATCTTTGCCATCAACAGAAGAGGAAATGCGACCGTTCTTCCCGGATTGACCAAGGAGGGGCAGGTTGCTCAAGATGCATCACCCAGAAAAGGGAATGCCATTCTGAAGCCTTTGAGCAAACAGATGTACCCAAGCGCCAACGTGTGATGGCCCGGAGCCCCAGCCGAGAGTCCAGTGTGTGGGAGAACGGAATTAACCCCGTTGGGTCAACTTCCCAGGATTCACTGCTCGATCTACCACCCAGTAGCAGCCGCAGTACTAGCATTGTGGAGCCCCATGAACTCTCTCGCCTGCGCAGTGACCCAACGCATTTCTCCTCTCCGTCCACCATGGAGGTCACTGCTGCTTCATCTGAGCCCGGGCTCCATCAAGTTTTGCAAAGCCCCCCCGGCTAAGCTTCAGCGGGGCCGCATTTTTACGAAGTATCTTCGTCGTAGATGAACAAGCTGCGAGCTTTCGGAGCCCAAGCGTGACATCCACCTTCCCAGACTCACAAATTTCGCACTCGCCGGATTCATCAACCCTTCCGAGCCTGCAATCTGCGCCGGTGAGCCCGAAGCTCCCTCAACCAGATATCGCGTCCAACGATTTTCGCTTAGCACATTCCCACGTATTACAATTTCTAGTTGATCGGTTGGTGCATTCCCGCGAAAAGTTCGATCAAGATATTTTTGTGAAGTGCCACCTTACGGTCAAAGATCTCGCTGAGTCACTGCGTGCCTACTTTGATATTCCCGGAATTTTTCATCCCTTCATCCCAGAAGATGCTTTTTGGGAAGACCTGAGAGCAGGGATATGCAGCCCGACACTTCTTGCAGCCATCGCGTCCCGCGGTATACCGTTCACGAATGCGAAAGACAAATGGGAAAAACAAAAGTTACTCGTTGTCATGTGCATGGATGAAATCATGGAGGTCGGGGTGAGCCGCGATGGCTCTGAGCGATTGCGCCTTGATGACCTTGAAGCGATGGCACTCATGATGGATTTGAAATATAAGAGTCCACATTTATTTTTGGGCTATAAACACGAGTGGAGACGACTTTTCGCATATGATTCCCTTGTTAAGGAAACTCTAAAGGGTCCGAATCGAGAGCCAATGGCATCGGACCCCTCGGGATTGTTAGCACGTGCTGACGAGCGTTATATGCTACTCTACTTTCACGTGTATACGCTTGACTCTTTTCAGTGTCTCTCGCGCAAGACAACTTCTGTCATTCCAGATGATGAGTTGAGCATGATTGAGGATACTTCGTGTCGGGGTGGAGGAGGTTATCTGGATGCCATGCTCGGCCTGGCCATCATCGCGCGGAGGATACTCCGAACTCTTTGCAATCCTGCAGCCCCTGAGGCAGGTATCGACTACCGGGATGTAATCTGTCTATATGAGCTGCTTCACGAGTGGCGCAAGCGCACCTTCCCCTCAGAGCGACGGACTCCAAAGGACAGAGCGGACGAACTCACCCTAGAAGAGCGCTCTTATTGGAAATCAACTCCAGTTTCTACAAGCAGACAAATCGATCTCTACCACACAATTTTGTGGGCTCTTGAAATCGATTGCTACATGCAAATTGATGATTGTGTATCTCGATACGGCTGGCAGGATAACGGTTCAATCCGGACGGAAGCAGTGACCCACCGTATAGAATACGAGAGTCTTCAGGCTATGTTCGAAGCCGTAGATTTGGCAGAGTTGATCCGAAGACCTTGGCCTGCCGACCAAGATGCTGGAAGAAGACCCTTGGTGGACCTTGCGCCATCGATTTTGCGGAACATTTGTGCAGACGTATGCGACTGGGTATGTCTGCGCGGTAAACGACATTGGGAGCTACTAGACTCCCAAACCGTGGAGAACGCAAACTTATCTCAAGCAAATTCAGGCCAGCTCTCTGAGCAAGAAACTCAGAGGCTACGAGTATTACATTATGCTGGGATAGCGAAACTGCTTCGGGATACAGTGGCTGCAGCTTCGGCTCACAGGGACACAAAGAAGATGGTTCAGGACCTTGATTATCACCTTATTCGTCTTCAAGAGAACTAAATTTGATTACCAGGCCCAGTCTGCCCTCAAGGTATTGATTGCTGTTACTTGCTTAGACATTGCTATATGATCAATGCTGTCACATTTTAATACGAGCGGAATCGTCCTTGCTGTTTATTGTCTCTCATCTCGGATATCGGGTAGTCATGCTGAGCAGAGGAGTCCAGGAAAGTGGAAGTGTCCCAGTGGTAATGAACGCGCATTCCCCTGGTTTCTAGCAAGAGATATTGGTCTCTTCAGTCATTACCGGAGAATGACTCCAGCAGAACCACCCTGGCCACAAACACTTTTTCCAGGAATATCAGCCAAATAGTATCCTGACGAATCTGACATTCGAGTCCTACCAAAAAGTAAGAAAAGGTCGGTACTCCATATTATTGTCCTCATTCGTACCGAAACTCCCATTGTATAGCAAAATCCATGAACATATCATAGTACAAAACTGGTCCCTAAACTTTTTGTCCCGCCCGACATCGGTTACCAGCCTCGCATTTTGCCAGCGGTGCTAATATTGACTACTCTAGCTCCACTGGCTTGGATACACCGGAAGCTGTCAGGCTGGGCAACTCCGGCGTGAAATAGGTCGATGTAGGCATCTCTAAAGGCGACAATTTCTCATCTTCGGTCCCGTCAACGAATTCATCAGGATCTTTTTGGGGACCTCCGCGTCGTTTTTGTCGGATGAAAAAGAATAGAGCAAGAACAAAGACTAGTCCCAGAGGAATCCCGAGGCCTAGTCCGACTTTTGCACCTGTGGTCAACACCGGATGGCTCTTTGAAGCGAGTTCTTCAGATTTGGTAGATGTATTCTGAATATTGGGTGTTGTTGTTGGGACTGTTATTCCGGATATTATAGTACTGGGGGCTGTGATGAAGTCGGTGGACTGCCATCGGACCGATACCGCATTTGCATAGACTGTGCCTATGACAGTAGGTCCTCCGTAGTAATCCGCTGAGCATCTCGCCCCCGTTTTAGTGGGATTAGCAATATATTTCCTGGGTTGCGATTATATGAGCGCAAATCTCTAACTAAAGATACTATTACCGAGCACAGCAGTTGTTTTTGGTTACTTACGGAGGACAACAAGATGCGCGCGTCTCAACCAGGTCCCCAATGTTGACTGTTGAGTTGAATGCGTAATAATAGCCGCTCGGACACAGCCCCGGTGAGAAAAACGAGGCCGAAGTATAACCCGGCGGGAAACATCGTGAGTCACTCGTTGTTGGCCCGAGTGTATAGAAGGTGTCGGTGCTGATTCCATTGAAGGACAGTTCAACGTTGGCAGACTGTAGGCAAAGATCGTGAGGAGCAATGAAAGTCGTCGTTAGAGGGAGGATTGTGGTTGTTGCGGACATCGCTCCAAACTGTTAGGAAGGCTTGCCAGTATTCAGTCAAAGTCCCATGAAAATTCTCAGGTTAAAGATGTCTACGGCTGGCAATAAGGGGGTTGAGGAGCTAACAAAAGTACGATATACAATATCGGTGCTCGGCTATTTTATTGGCTTTGCGGTTGGGGCCGAAATTCGCGATTGCAGAATTTGGCTTTGAGCCAATCGCAGCCCGCGCTAGCTATGCATGACAGGGACACCGCCCCAAAAGGAGAAAGGTTCGGGGCCCCCCGATGGCTGAAGTGAGACAAACTCCAACCCACCCCACTTACTCAATGAGCCCCCACATTACTTCCCGTGGCACTGATCGTGATCGTCCGAGTCCCTGGGGTCCCCGAATGGTACTGAATTTCGAGACACTTACCAATGACAGGCAAACGACCGTCCGTATCATATTCTTAGAGAAGTTACACGCTTAGCATGGAGTGATCTTTGGCTCCATTTTCAAGCCCCATCGTTGGATTTTCCCAAGCCTTGTTGATTGTAGATGACTTCCTGACCGCCGCACCACTGCCGGACACCCGAACAACCTTCTTTGCCTGCCCACCATGTGTTAGGTTGCTGGGCGAGTACCTGTTCTAGTCTGGGTCAGGGATGGATGACCTGGAAGAAACGAAACTCGACAACTCGACAACACGGAATACTCCTATATAGAGATTCCTTTTTATGGCGTTTTATTTTTTGGGGGCTTGCGGATGGACAATTGCTTAAGGCACTGTCGTGAATCAGGGCTCTGCCTGCCGTGTGCGTATGCTTCGTTTGAAGCGACCCCTAGCGCTCAGCATATAACTCCAGGCCGTATTCTCCGTGCTTTTGTCAATTAACGCTATCTTTAGCCCCATCCAATAGGCCCACCCAAAGCGCGCAGTAGCTTTCAGTAGTGTAGCGTTTGGTGTATTTAATTCATCCCATCATCGACATGGCCCAATTCAAAACAACCACGTGTTGTTCAGTTAGCTCCCTTCGTCTTGAATGCACGTTATGTGGTAATTTGTATCGCGAAACTCATTAGACGTTCAGCCACTCCATCCCTTATGCGCGTCGCCTTCTATGTTTGACTTTCCCTTGCCCTGCCCGCCCTGCCCGCCCTGCACATATCCACCAGAGATTTCATTACATTATTCTATTTATCTCTTGTACATAACGTGCGGTTGCCTTTGGCCGAATCCGGTAAATGTGCATTCCATTTCTGCCTAGATTTTGATTCCCACTATAGAGAAATAGTGCAGGCTTTGATTCAGAGGTTGTTGGCCCATTCTCAGTTGTGGCTGTTTTCAGAAATAAGTATAGCAATGAAATAGAGCTACTCAAATGAAACTAGCAGTGCTTTTACCTGTTCTGGTGCTCTCCGCCGAAGGAGGAGGTGCTCTGCGCTGAGTGAAGCCACGCGCTGTAGAAGAGGCGGGAGTTCGCAATCAACTTTATCCACTCATGGAGGATGCCTTTACCCTTGTATATCCCGCCAAAAAGGAGGCTCGGCCACATGTGTTGAACAGCTATAGCCTTTTATCAGCAAGGCACATTCAATCTTATTGTTAGGTGTAAAGAAAGTAAAACAGTCTCGGGGGGTGGTTTCAGGGCTTAGGTTGGATGGACAGGTAGGCAATTGGTTGAGGAAGTGATGGCTTTCGTGATTTATTGTTAGCGGGCTTAGTGTCCGCCAGGTGGCCGACAACCTTTCTTCGCATCCTTGACGGTGTAAATAAGAAGGAAATGATATGCGCGGTGTTGCGAAATGTTTCGTAATCATCTGTGGTTGTTGAAATGGAGTGGCCGAGTGTCTATTCTCCCATCGGCGGGGATAGGTCCGTATATAAGCATGAAGCCCCTCGACGTCCGCAAATATATTTCAGAGACTCAGTGGGGGAAAAGAGGCTTGAGCTAATTGTGAAAGTGGCATGTCAACATATGTGCAAACAGCTCGAAACAACATGGTTATGTCTCGCGAAAACCGGAACTCAACCGTTGAGGGGTTCACTTGTAGTGCAAATTATATTCCATGGATGATGACTAGCCTACCAATATGATGCTCAATCCAGTGCAAGATAATGTGCATGGTTAGTGCTCAATCAGTGCATAGTTGACCCTTGACCCTGAATAGACTCAATTCTCACGCGGGGTTCTTCGGCTTCTCTCAGTCAATGGTGATTCAGACTGGTCCTACGCCCATGCAGATGCTGGGAGAGAATCTCAATTTCAAGACGGCCAAGTTTGAAAAATTCCGAAGGTAATGATTTATCTTCTGGATTTATTTATCCCCAAGATCAACGCCGCTCCGCGTATACGCGCACCCCTATTCTAAGATTGGAGATGGCCATGTATTTAGTATTGACGGTACTTTGTATGATACAGGCCACTACCCTGTGGGTGTTCTGAAGTCATAAAAACTTTTGCACGAAGGTGGTTTCCTCGGGTTCCCCAGCTTTGTGCTAACAAAAGGCTCCGAAGCCCGTTCGAATGGACCATCTAGATCAGCCATAAACTCACACCTAGCGGCTCTCACACTCTTCATCCTGATATGCGCCACGAAAGATGACGGCTGGCAGAGCATCCGATCTGGATGGCTTAGAGATTGTCACGTCTCTCTCTGACGCACTTTATCGATCGGCTAGTCTCTTCTTGCTATGCAAGGTCGACATTCTGCCCTTCATCGGTAAGCTCCAGGAAAAGAGGAACTGGAATCCTGGGTCTCCCCCTCCTCCTGTCAACAGTCCGGATCTTCGTCCTCCCAATAGCTCACATTCTCTGACGGCAGCACCAGCTCGAAAATGTTACGATATACCTGACATGAGGTTATCCACAGATGCCGGTGCCTCAGACTACCTGGACCCTGGTAAGTCGGCAAGCTTTCGGCGGAGGTTCACTGGAGCTTCGCTGCCAGTACGTGTATGAACTCCTGCAAGGAAGACCCTTGTGGAGGCTACACAAGCCTTGTGTTTTCCCCCGCTCCCATTCCCCTACCAAGGATACATCTCCTTCCTGTTTTGAGTGATATGACTTGAGATGACCTTTGCTAGCGGCGAAAGACGCTGGGCTATGATCACTTCTCAGTTAATGCTGCTATAAGTACACTCAGAACGGCGGTGAATTCTATGGGCCATTTTAAGTACAACAGCCACGTTCTCCTCAAGGAATATCTGGGAAAGTACCCTGAAGATACTGATAAGTACTAGAACTCCCTGAATATTAGGGGTGGAGTCAACCCCCAAACCCACCAGAACGATGCCTCGCCGGAGAATACGCGCCGAGGATTTAGATGACTGTATTGCGCACCCGAATGGCCGCAAGAAAACCGATATATTTGAATTCGGCCGTCGGGACCTAGCAGTCCCTCTGGATGTGATCTTTGGCCCAATCGAGAAGGAGTATATCAAAACCGGCAAGATCGGAGGATTTGCGGTCTCCGAGGCTCGGGCTGAGACTATTCATGAGGCCGTGAAACACACTTGGGTCCTCGCCGTAGAGGCTGAGACAACCTACAGAGAGAGCTCAGCCCTCCAAAACACTATGATAGATATCAACAGAAATAGCTTCTCTGCCATCTCTACCGATATCCTAGAGATTGGTGCCGTAGCTGGCTTGGGCCCGGTATAGGATTCCAATCTTCGCCTACTCGCCTATTGGCAGAGGCATATTGACCGGCCAATTCAGAAAATTGGACGACCCTCCACAAGGCTCGCCGTTACTCTCTTTAAACTTCCAGCGATTCTGAAAATATGAAAAGAGAGAGGGAGATTGGCCAACTGATAAGAAGGCGAGGGCGCTAGTGTGATGGTCGCAACACCCTCTTATGGCCCGTTACGGTCTAGCAGAAATGAGTCTGAACTGCGTCCGGGGGTAGGCCTCGACCTTGTAACCGAAGTCTCGGGTAGGCCAAAAGATAGGGACAAGTTTTCGATGTTCTCCTGGTTCGAAGTCTGCTCTGGCATACCGCCGAAATTCACTAGGTTGCCATACAGGCAGGTGTTGCGCAGGTTTGTTATAGTAGTAGGAGGAAAACTTCGACAAAAATGTGCAGCTGGTGGAGAAGGTCGAGGAGATCGCGAAGAAGAAACGCTCCACCCCGGCCGAGCTCGCGATCAACAGGACTACAGCGCCATCTAGACGTCCCGGGATTCCTACTATCATTCCTATTCCCAGGGCCACCACTGCAGAACGAGTGGAGGAGAATAGCAAGCTGATTGGTACCTCGAACGAGGAGATGGCTGAGATTGACGATATCCTAGCCGTATTACCCTTAGCAGGTGGACTATACCCAGAGATCTTATAGCACCAAGAGTACAATAACAAGCTACCTGTATGCGGATGTTAAAAAGTTATCAGAAAGGAACCGGAGAACACTCTTAGTTCGTCTTCAGGAAGTGGAAAATTCTACACATACGTACACGGACGTATAATATAGTTGAGGTAGCATGCATAACGTAATTCACGGTCGAGCGAGCCACCCCAAAACACCGTACTAAATGCGATTTTTCACAACTTCATATTCCAACGTTGAAGGCTAATTATATAGTCTTTGAAATATGTTGGTATTGAATATGTTACACTAATTATTTTTATAGGCTCTAAGAATATTTTAGGGCATGATAATGTACATATATATATCCCTATCCCTTGATTGGGGCATATTTTTGGTAATATAATTAAATAATCATTTCCTGAATATATAAGTTATACCAAACTATTTCTAATACTAGAGAGTTATAGTAAATTGAAAATTAAATAAAAATATGTTCTCGTTGTTGATATATCATGACCTAAAAAATCGCGTTTAGTATGGTGTTTTGGGTTGGCTCGCTCGACCGTGAATTACGTTATCGCTTGTCAAGTTGGATTATAAAGCACAGCCTCCTAGGCTAGGTACGGGTTCGTATTTTGGCTTAGTTGGGTAAACCAACTTGTTATTGCGAGGGATCAGGGTATCAACCAACAGACCAACCATTGTGCCTCGTGAACCCTGACTGTCAATCAAGCTATTAGTCAATTTATATGCTCCTGGATACCCTTGCCTACAGATTTCTACACTTTTCTAGTCGGGTACGGAGCTAGTCTAAGAGACTAAGAGGAATCTTATGAACATACTTGAAGAACGCAAGTCTTACGGTACTCTGGGCGATCTGTCCCTATTTTGACCATGCGCATCGGAACACATGCGTGGTCAAACCCCATCTCCACAGGTTTACCAGACTCTCACAAGATATTGCTCCTGGGCACTATCAGAGTCCCGTTTTGAAAACACGTGCAAAATATCCCCCGGGTTCGTTCATAATCTATGACTCCACGACCAACTAGATTCCCAGGATCTCAATACGTATGTAGAAGTTTGAAGATTTCCTCAAAGGCCTCTGTAAGAAGGGACTGAAGCGAGTATTGCACGAGTAAAATTTGCGACGCATGGCCAAATGCCAATCGATCCCCCGGTCTGCGCTCGCAAATCTTGCTGATTCACAGGTATGGCAATTCTGCCTAGCGCCAATCCTTCACCTAAAACCTAAACAACTTTTGATGCTTAAGCTTCCAAATATATTTGTTAGTAAGGTTTCTTGGTGGCAAAGCCGAATTATTATTTTGAAAGAAGCAACTAAACATCATCACGAGATATCATGTATTGTAAGCTGAATTCTTTAGGCACGCAGTCAATGATATGCAAATCAATGTCACAACTTACACTTACACTCCATTCCTATGAAAAGAACAATTGGAACACTGTAACGCGGCTAGCACATTATTCATGAGAAATCTTAGCATTACGTTTGTTATTAAGGTGACTGCATTCTTTACAATCCTATCTTGCAATTTTAGGCTGGTCCAGGGCGTATCTTGGTGTCCTTGGCCTGGCTAATACCAGCCAAAGAATGTAGCATGCATGCGTAGGCAAGGGAACATTGCAACCACACTGCCAAAAGACGGACTTGTCCTATACTTGCCATCAATTATAAATACCAGAATCCTACGTAGATTCTGCTGGGCGGTTATTGGTTTTTGCAAATCAAGGTTTTTCTACGCTGCGCTCCTTTACTTTTCTCAAACTAAGAATCCAGATATCTCATCCAGCATGACCAGGCAACGGGGGATCGACCTTACAGAGGCAGAAGGTTTAGACAATGAAAAGCGTCTACGGCTCTTAGGGATCATCGATAGACTCCGAGAATTGGGCATCAGTGAGAATGTGTCCCTTCCTCAGGTAGGTTGAAAAAGCTCCTCTGAAGAGACGCGTTACTGAACTATCACAGCTCGTTGTGGTCGGTGATCAATCCAGCGGGAAGTCGTCCCTGTTGGAAGGGTTGACAGGCCTTTCTTTTCCGGTAGCCAGTGATCTCTGCACGAGATTTGCCACCCAGATAGTCCTTCGTCGAGCGCCCGCGGAAGACGCCGAAGCAAGGATTACGATCATCCCGGGACCCACTTCGCGTCTAGACGAAGCCCTGAACCAGCGACTTCTTGCATTTGAGAGGAGACTGGCAGCCGTCGAGTTTGGATACCAGGAGTTTGAGGACATCTTTGATGAGGTGCGAATTATGTGGACTGTTAGGGATGAAGACATTTTCACTAACTATTTAATAGGCGGCGACTTGTATGGGGGTACCTGGCCCAAAGACAGCCAACCTGGAAGATGTAGAAAAAAGGTTCTCAGATGATATCCTCAAGATTGAGCTTTCAGGACCAGATCATCGGCACCTCAGCGTTGTGGATGTTCCAGGCTTGTTTCACAGTAAGGTAACCACGCGTGCATATTGAACTTGGTGCTGATTATTTATGAAGACCCGACCAAGTTTCAAACTGAAGAGGACCGCGCCATTATCCGAAAGCTCATCCAAGACTACCTGACAGACAAACGTACTATCATTCTGTGAGTCAGGTACACTTCCGTTAGGGTGTTTGGGCGGGCATTTGGCTTATTTGCTTTACAAGGGCTGTTATGGATGCACGCAATAATCTTGCCAACCAGGAAGTGTAAGAAGTCTTTCTCTGCACCACTAAATGTAGGGTGTTGACGGTCAGCAGGTTTTCCATGGCCCGAGCCGCCGACCCAGCGGGTAAGCGGACCGTTGGAATCATTACCAAATGCGATGCTCTCCAAGCGGGAGACGAAGCTGGCGTACGTCCCATTTGCACTGAAATGAAATTCCTAATCTGAATGCGAAATAGGTTCTGAGTATCGCCAAAAATGAAGTCGAACGTCTCACTCACGGATGGTTCGTGGTTAGAAATCGCTCTACACAGGAAATACAAGCGGGTGTCACTATTGAGGAACGACATCGAAAGGAGAAACAGTTTTTCTCAACGGCCCATCCCTGGACCGAGCTGAGAAAAGATCGAGTCGGCATCAACGCGCTGAAGTCCTTCCTGGGTCATCTTTTGTACGACCACATTCGTTCAGAATTTCCTGCTGTCGTTGAGGATATTGAACGACTTTCTCTGGAGACCCAAAAAGAGCTGGAGGTCCTTGGTCCATCCCGTCAGACCCCTGCGGAGCAAAGAAGGTTCTTGACTCGTATCTCGACAACATACCAGAATGAGGTTGAAAAGGCATTGAGGGGAAATTATAGCGCAGACTTGGACGCGCTTAGCCCACTCAAACTTCGGATGCACATACGACAACATGCGGAGGATTTTGCGAAGTCGATGGCAACGAACGGGCACGCGAAAGTCTTTCGTACAATCCGTGATGAAAGTGACCCTGAATTTCAAAGGCCAGCAGCTGACTCGGAAAACATATACGACTGGATAAGGCGTTGCTATCTTGAATCTCGAGGTTCAGAGTTACCGGGAACTGTAAACCCAGTCGTGCTGGAGAATATGTTCCGCCAGCAGTCGAGTCCGTGGGAAAAAATAGCGCTCCGCTACCTAGAGAATGTGGCCTCGTCAGTTCACTCTTTCAACAAGGAAACATTGTCATCCATCCTGCCTGACGACGACATAAGGGAGAAGCTGTGGGGAATCCTATCTCCACCAGAACAGGAAACATACCGCAAAGCACATGATCAGCTCCTCAACATTGTGAATGACGAAAGAGACGGTGTCCTCCAAACTGTCAATCATTATTATGCCGATACTTTGTCTTCAATTCGTCAAGAAAGAGTCACGGTTAGACTTGAACAACTAGGACTCAGTAATGGGATGTGTTTCGATATGAGCAGGGTGCTGCAAGGAGTACATCTGAGCAACGAGGATCAAGCTGTTTTCGACATCCATGACATCTTGAAGGCTTTTTACAAGGTAGCTATGAAACGTTTCATGGATAACGTGGTCATCCAGGTTTGTGAGCGATACATTTTGGGCGATGGAGGTCCCGTGAAAACATTCTCGCCTGATTTGATAGGCGATTTTGAGGAGGATAAATTGACAGAAATTGCAGGTGAGAACTTCACAACGGCAAGCAGACGAAATGATCTGCTTTCCAAAGCTGCCCGTTTTCGAGAAGCTCTAGAAATTGCAAAGAGGGCTGTGCTCTGATATCGCTCAGCCGTGGGATCTAGGTCCAGGAATATGGTCAGGTAGTGGATTCCTCGGCCAATGTGGTGATATATTGGTTATTTGCTTCTTGTTTTCTTTGGTTTCTCCGGGATGGTTTTTTCCTAAAGGGTTTTCCCATTCCTTAAACGCAAATGCGGGAGAAACCCCGTTTATGTTATTAATTGCTATGGTTCTAAACTGATTTCATTGACTAATGACATGAGCTACCTAGTCTACTACTGTACTAGTCGCTTGTGAAGTGGTCAACCATTTCACGCTTTTTGTCCATGCGCCCCATAGTAAACAGTCCAGCTGACCGCAAGGACCTGTCCCGCCATTACAGTCTACATCGATGCCCATGTGCTTTCCCACCATGCACGCCTACCATCTAATGTAATTGCTACTGTTGATCGAGGTATGTTTCCCCCTCTGCTGGAGTCTGGCTTCATTTCCGAATTGTACCTGCCGTGTGGTATTTCTGAAAATGACCCAGGGTTATATCATTTTACGAACATTCCCAGCCCTCTCATTCCTTACGCCATGCAAGGGAACAGAACACATATCGCTTGGCCGTCCAGTCCAAGACTGATAAAGGGCAAACTACCTTAAGACTCCATTGCATGCTCCAATTCTTTTTCCCTTATACGAGGTGCACAGCTCAAGCGCTGCTGGTTTCTCGCGAAAACAATGCATTCGAACCACGATTGTGTACCTCCCAGTAACGATGCCGGCCCTTATGAAACACCAGAACAGGGATCGGTCCAGTGTAAAATCAGTTCAAACTCTCTGGGCACCTTCCTGCGATGTTTAGCAGACATGGAAGAAGAGTGGACATGTATGTGCCCCCGAGTGCAAAATACAGTTAAGCCGTTGACTGACTGCAACAAGTTGCCAAGGAGAAAAATATCAATGCATTAAGCGCGAGAGCTGATATACTACGACGTACTTTGAACCAAAGGATTTCGCAACTTCATGAGCTGGCCCAGGAAGAGACCCAGTGTATTCTCAATAAATTTGAGCTCGAGGAAGATCTCCGCCGAGTCTCGGTATATTCGGTCCTTGAAGATGAAATGAGATGGCCGCTTGTTTTGACGATGAATCACGGTATGCGGATGTACTTTGCCAAAGCCTTTCGAGAGATTCTGCATTATTTTCTGTCGGGATATATCCTCCCGTCAGAATAAGCAAAGACAGGTTGTACGTAATCGTGCTAAGCAGCGGCTCCCGCCGTCTGAGGTTCAGGGGCATTGGAGATGGAGAACACACATCTATCTACATTTTTGAATCAATTGACTTTTTGCTTTACGGCATAACACTGTCCACTTAACTGTGTACACAGTACCTAGCTGGTGATACCAACACTGATCAGTGGTTGATTACAACCACAGAACAGCTCGGTTTACACGACCTGGAAGAGGCATTGACCGCAAGGGAACGGGGAAACACTCTGCAGTACCCTCATTGCGGAAGGTGTGCTAAAGGACATCAAAGTATCTCATTGGGAAACACTTGCAGTACCTTTGAGACACGGAGGATTTCCAAAAGATCTACAGTTGAAACCGCAACGAAGATCTGCGTCTACCACGCGAACAACGCGTTAACGGGAAACACCTTGCAGTACCGTCACGACACGCAACCCAACACATTCATTTGGTTTATCCATCTCATTCACGATTACCGTCGATTAAACAACCATGCCAATCCCAGACAACCTCGGATACGCTGTTGAGGAGGAAACATGGCAGAAATCTATCGATACACTCGACGAGAAGAACCAGACGGAGAAGATATTGAACGGACATATAGCATGTACAATGCAGGCATGGAACATAATGCGCATCACCGATCGTGCCCTATGGAATGACTTTCGTGAAGAATTCAACGGGTGGACCCTAGACACATTCAAGGTGGCCAACAAAACCGCACTGAAGATGCTTCGACTTTACCTGATTACCCACGGAGTATGGATCAGAGTACGCATAGGGACATCCTACGCGAAGGGACTATACGACTGTCTCCAAGAGGTCACCCAGCACGAATGGACCAAAGAAGAGATCGAAGACCATCTCAAGGAGCACCCAGACAACTTCAGCTCCAGATGGAACCCTGCACGCGACCGATCACCGACCGTCCGACCACACTCCCCAGCAGCACGAGCTACTTCGGTGAACCCACCAAATCCTCAAACCCCACGAACGAATCTCGAGAAACCACACATCGAACGAAGTGACCAGAGATGGGAAGAAGCCAGATCCATCACGCTTGATACAGCCTACGTGGACAATCACAGACAGCAACATTCCGATTACGGTAGACCCCAACAATATTCCACGGATATACCGTTACCGAGAATGATCGAAGCAGTAACGAGGCAGTACAGCAACACGGACGACAAGTATGGCGGAGGACTGTATGACGACTTCAACACTAAGTTAGTCAAGTTCTACGACGTCTGTGAAAAGATCGGCCTACAGGAGCATCAGTTCCACGTCGCATTCTCCCTTATGCTCAAGGGGAGAGCGGAGAAATTTTACTTCACACGGATCAAAGGAAAGGCAAGAGATTTCCCCACAATGATAGACATGATGAGGGCGCACTTCGACACAGAAGAAAACCGTCAAAGATATATCACGGAATGGAGAGAGACTACCTTTCCGAGTATTATTGCTCAAAATCCGGAGAAATCGCGCCCGGAGTGCCTCGAGATCCTCTTCGAAACACTCGAGAAGATCCAGCCAGGATTGCCCCCCGAACACCGCTCGGAGACGACCCTACGGGAACAAACCATAAATGCCTGTAGAGGTGTTGAGGAATGTAAATTCTCCTTATATAGGCCGGCGAGCACTCTCGAGGGAGTGCAAGCGGAACTGCGATCAGCAGTTGCTAATGCGGCTTTTTCACCACGGTCGGGGCAATTTCAGGCTTATGAGGAGTACGAGATGCACGATCAGCATTGGACCGACCGGACATACGGAGGGAGAGGTCGTGGATACAGCCGCGGAGGTTATAGCCAGCGCAGAGGAAGCTATGGACTCGGTAACAACCGTGAACTCACTCCCTTTCGTGGATCAGGACCACGAGGAGGCTACCGTGGAAGTCGACGGGGCAATCAAGGACCCCGCCAGGGGAGATGCTATGTCTGTGGAAAGCCAGGATGCTGGTCGAAGTATCATACCGGGGAGGAACGAAGACAATCACTCGATAACTTCCGCCAGCAACATTACTTCACCACGGGCCAAGCGGCCACCCCACAGGATTTCCAGATGTTCCTCAACGACTTTGAAGGAGAGGAGGAGACAGAAGTGCTAGACAGCAATGATAGGCATGAATCAACCCTGATGCTCGCAGACATGACTATTGAGGATGACGGGCACGAGGGATTCTTGACAGAGCTCGGGGAAGTCGACGGGATTAGAATGATATCCATCCTAAACGACCAGTCAGCATACCATTTCTTCACTAAAGACGACATCTTCCAGCAGCGACAAGCCAACGGACAGGCCATTGAAGTGTTCACACTTGACAACCGGTATTCATCTGACACTTTCCAAGGCATCATGCCGGATACCGGAGCCTCTGGTGTTTCGTCTGCTGGCGAGCCTCAATTTAGGGCATTGTGCAAGCTCGACCCCAGAGTCAGACTCGATACGTCCCGGGCTGGGGAACATAGAATCAAATTTGGAGTCGGAGATCCAAAAGTCTCCTTGGGGACTGCCGATGTCGATACCCCAATTGGATCCATTACGTTTCATATCCTTCCCACGAACACACCGTTTCTCTTCTGCCTCAAGGACATGGATGCTATGGGGGTGGAGCTCAGAAACAAGAAAAACGTACTTGAGCGAGGAAACAAGAGAGTGCCCATCGTTCGTAAGTGGGGACACCCATGGATGTTGCTACATAATCTGGAGGAGATAGCAGCATGGAGCCACCTCACTGAGACGGAGCTACGGCAACTCCACCGACGTTTTGGACACCCATCAGTGCGAAGATTGACCCGAATCCTTCAGCGTGCCGGGCACGAAATAAATTCGCAGTGCATCGACTACCTCACGAAGTTCTGCCACCATTGCCAGATGAAAGGCAAGTCCCCAGGACGATTCAAATTCACTTTGAAAGATGACTATGAGTTCAACTACTCAGTTATCGTCGATATCCTGTACCTCGAAGGAAAGCCCGTTTTGCAAGTCATCGATACAGCCACGTCATTTGGTGCTGCGAGATTCCTGAGAGATATGTCTGCACGCAATGCTTGGGACACACTTCGTGCATGCTGGATCGATACCTACCAGGGACCCCCGGACTACGTTGTGCACGATGCGGGGAAGAACTTCACATCTACAGAGTTCAAGCAGCTTGCATTGTCGATGTCAATCAAAGTTAAGGAGGTCCCCGTGGAAGCTCACAATAGCGTAGGGAAGGTAGAACGATACCATACACTGCTGCGCCGTGCCTACGAAATTCTCAGAGATGAGCTCAAGGATGAGAACATTGACAAGGAGATGATCCTGCAAATGGCCGTGAAGGCTGTCAACGACTCAGCCGGACCAGATGGAATTGTCCCAACACTGCTTGCCTTTGGGGCATACCCGAGAATGACGGAAATGGATCCACCATCACCTTCGGTAGTCAAGAGAGCTGAGGCTATTCGCGCTGCAACCAAAGAGGTCCGTCGCCTACATGCGGAACGCCAGGTGAATGACGCTCTCGCCATGCGCAACGGCCCTAGTACAATCGCCACATTGAACCTACCATTACAGTCGGATGTTCGAGTCTGGCGCGAGAAAGGTGGATGGAAGGGCCCATATAAGCTCTTGGCGGTGGATGGAGAGACTTGTACTGTGGATATGCCATATGGACCTACGAAGTTCCGATCAACGGTTGTTAAGCCCTACTATAGAGAAGAGCTCCCAGAGGGAGAGGGAGGTCAACGTTGTGTTAAGGTAGAGGACGACCAAGTGAATGAGATTGTCGACTCGAGACCTATTGACGAGCCCGATAAACCGACGGAAATCCAACGACGAGGTCGAGGACGACCACCAGGATCGAAGAACAAACCGAAACCGCAGACAGTCGTGCGGCGGGGCACCCGACGAGGTCCTGCTCATCATCAAGATCTCGAGGATCAATTCATCAACGCTGTTTGGGAAGGACAAGACGTTTCAATGGCGCTTATGACAAATAAAGAACGAGCCGATATGGAACTGTCTATCAAGTTGAGAAATGAAGGTGTCATCACGACCCCTGGATTGCCATTCGAACAATCCCGGAACGAGGAGATTGAAGGATTGATAGCCAGAGGCGTGTTCGAGTTCGTACAATACGATCCAATCAAGCACGCTAGCATACGCATCTTCAATTCGCGCCTAGTCAACGAGATCAAAGGCAAGGCTACGGGTACGCCCTTCGAGAAGTCACGACTTGTTATCCAGGCATACAATGATGAAGGGAAGGGGATGATTCTCACGCAATCCCCGACTATTCAGCGAGCCAGCCAACGTGTTATCATTGCACTCGCCCCGTCACTAAGCGAGAAAGGCATCAGTCTGTCGATCCGGGATATAACACAGGCATATGTCCAGTCAACGACCTCATTGAACAGACTGATTCTGGCACATCTCCCTAAGGAGACCAAGAGCAAATTCCCGACAGGCACAATTATGGTAGTGCGGAAGCCGTTATACGGGATCCCTGAAGCCGGAACCCATTGGTGGGCAACGTACCACAAGCACCACCGGGAAAGGCTCGGGATGGTCACATCTACTTACGACCCATGCTTGTTGATCTCAACAGCAAAAGGAGCTTTCGGCGTGGTCGGGATGCAAACCGACGATACTCTGATTTTGGGATCCGACGAGTTCGCCGCGCTTGAAGAAAAGGAATTAGCGGAGGCAAAGTTCAGCGCCAAGCCCAAGGATACACTGTCTCCAGAGTACCCGCTGATATTCAATGGCTGCGTTCTAACACAGAAGGAAGGAGACGCTGCAGTTGAGTTACGCCAGAAGGAGCAGGGCAAGAAACTTAAGCTCATCGACCACAAATTCAAGGACTTTAAACACGCATACATGGAACAACGTGCTCGCGGAGCTTACATTGCAACAATCTGCCAGCCGGAGGCTGCATTCGACCTATCCGTTGCCGCCCAACACCAGGACCCCACGGAAGCCGACGTCAACGCGCTGAACAAACGCATCATGTGGCAAATGAAGAACCTAGACAGGGGTATCAAATATGTTGCAATTGACCTATCAACGGCGAAGCTCTTCGTATTCGTCGATGGATCATTCGCGAACAACAAAGATTTTAGCTCCCAGATTGGATATGAGATCATCCTCGCAAACGAGTCCACAAGGAGCGAGGAATTTGAGATCATAGGAAACCTGATCCATTGGAGCTCAACCAAGAGCAAACGAGTTACCAGAAGCGTTTTGGCATCGGAGATCTATGGAATGGTAGGAGGTGTCGATATGGCAATTGCAATTGGCACAACAATCAAGATGATCATGGACCAACTTGGCTTTGGAAAGATTCCTACCATCGTGTGCACGGATTCATACTCCCTCTACGAATGCCTCGTCAAACTCGGAACCACCAAGGAGAAGCGTCTGATGATCGATATCATGGCACTTCGCCAGTCATACGAGCGAAGGGAGATAATGGAGATAAGGTGGATCAACGGGAGCGACAACCCAGCGGATGCAATGACCAAGGCAGAACCCAACAAGGCCTTGGAGAAGTTCATCACCACAAACACCTTACGAGTGCGAGTTGAGGGATGGGTGGAGAGAAAATAGAATGGTACAGCGAGGTCTAGGTGTGCAACAAGGCGCAGTCTGATTTTTTTATTGTCCGCTTTGACCGTTCGTTTTGATCTTTCTTTTGACCCTTTTTCATTCGTTCGTTTTGTTCTTCATTTCCTACTTGAGGACACTGGCCTTTGCACAAGAGAAAAGTTGCCAGTGTCGGGATATATCCTCCCGTCAGAATAAGCAAAGACAGGTTGTACGTAATCGTGCTAAGCAGCGGCTCCCGCCGTCTGAGGTTCAGGGGCATTGGAGATGGAGAACACACATCTATCTACATTTTTGAATCAATTGACTTTTTGCTTTACGGCATAACACTGTCCACTTAACTGTGTACACAGTACCTAGCTGGTGATACCAACATTTTCAATGCTTGAGAGCAAATGCGGTCCACACAAAGACGAAAAACCTAGCCCATGTGGGAATTCCAGTCAGAGTGGCGAGAAGGCCCAGATCGTTGTCCTTCTGTTGCCCTTATCACGCGTCAGCTAGGTCTGGACACGATGAGGTCTCGTTTCAGGCGTGCGGTCCGATTAAAGCTCCTCTTTGCTTGGTCGACTGTGATACCTGCAGAAGTGTTGGGATACATCATAAAGGCCAATAAACCCAGGAATAGCAATGGCTATTGACAGGCGGGCACATCTTCAAGCGACGACGTGGTATGCGACTTGGTTGTCCTAGTCCATATGAAGAAAGTTCTTGGTCGCTAATCGATTTTGTCGTGGTTATGTTCTCGTGTTGGAGCTTAAAGCTAAGGACTTACCGGTGGTCGGAGTGCGGACTTCTCCAAGGTGTGGTAAGATCAGGACTTCGCCCAGCTAAAATAGAGTGAATCTTGATCGTTTAAGGTTCGATAGCTGGAGCTGCAGACTTGGAATCTCCCAGTCATATTTTTATCGGGAAATGCAGGGAAATGGGCGGAGGTCATTATCAAGGATTCTTGGCAGAATGGCACCCCATGAGCCGGTATATTGTCCATATGTGACCTTGGTCAGGGAAATAACGGGGGTATATCAAGTGCTTTTATTGTATTTACAGTCAAAGAAGTTCGAAATTTGCCCTCCCTCGCCTGCTCTTCGAAATCTTAAACCCCTAACGGAATTTGGAGCGCAAATTTAGTTTTGAAACCCGGATTCTTAATCTCATTCCAAGAATAACTCCTAGCAACGGAATGCAACGAGCGTCACCCGCTATGGAGACAATCCTGGTATATGAAGGACGGACGCTCAGGTTGAACTGACACACTAAGCCTCAAAAAAGTACTCAACTGCACTCCTAAAATAAGTTACAAAAAGCAACAAGAAAACGCACAAAATATGACTAATAGCGAACTTGAGTCGCTTGCCTCTTCATTAAGGCAACTCGCTGATCGATCAGACCAGATTCGAAGTAAGTACAGCATATTGATTGGGCACATACACATCTACTTACATACGAAAAAGTTCGACACGAGCTGTCGACATTATCAGTGTGTAATGAGATCGAACGTCTTCAATGCAACTTAGAACTCATTGAGACTCCAATCGATGAGCTAGAAAGGTCCAACGAGCAAGAAAACCGCCAACTATCCAATCTCAAAGAGGAGATAAACGACCAGTGGCAGCAGCTTTTATTGGAGGTTGGACATAGAGAATCAGGCATAGACAAGACCAGAAATCACCTTGACTTTCTTCTTGAAAGGTTAAGAGACTTGCATGGAGACATGGAGGAAGCCGAAAAGTGCTTGATCGGGGAAGACGGAAATTGGGAGCACCTGCGAATACCATCCAGAGATCAAGTACGGCAACCTTCCATGTTACGTACGAGGGCACGTGCAGCGTCTTTCTGTTGCCTCTTTCACGCTGCACTTCATAGAGGACACAGTCGTGCTTCATTACGTGCTTGTCGTAGCGATTTCTTACCCCACGGCTTGGAATGTGATTTGCATGATTCTGAGCCTATTTATTTCCCTGTGCCAGGGAGTGACTGTGACAGCGAGTGCGGCAGCCGTAGAGGCTATGACAATGTCAGCGAGAATGGCAGTCAGCAAACCTCTCCAACTGATTGTATATTGATGTGAAATTTCTGAATTCTTCGTGGCTACTGCTTTTCTTTCTGTGTGTGTAATTCAGATGAAGTGTACCATCCATTATGCTGTCAATCTGATTCTTCATTTGATTCTTCATTTAATCATGGAGCCACCGAAGGAAGAGGTCTTTGGGACTAGAGAGCAGCTAATTCCTTCTATACAGCAGCATGCCCTATCTCATGGCTACGCTATCACTACTATATCATCTAATCTAAGCAGGAATATCACACTTGGTTGCGATAGAGGCGTGTCTACCACGATAGAATCAAGGCTGCTGATGGTGCAAAGCGCCGGAAAACAAGCACAAAGCGAACTGGATGTCCCTTTCGACTCTATGGTAAAAAGCTTGCTAATAATCAATGGCAGATCCAGGTAGGTTGCGGCAAATCCGCTCCGTTGGATGTCAAATTGATATCCGCATCCAACTGTTGGACATCCACGGATATCCGTTGGATGTCCGCAAAATCCAATAGAAATCCGCACTAGCATAAAAATCGCTAACTTAACCTGTTTCAGTATCCCATGTGACTCTTATGCAGCTGACTACGCACTCTTTTTTTTTCATATTACTAGTAGAATTACTAAACCTCTACTGCGTATGTTTCCAAATCTCAGGGGAAAATAAGCATTGAAGTAGCATACGGGATAGAAGGTCGTAAGGAGACACTATACACCGCACTTTTAAAAATACATCTTCCACCCAAGCAGCGTATATCTGTTTACCAACCAATCCTAACTACTTAATCATAAAGACTTATCTATATATCTAGTCTAAATATTAGCTATTCGAGCGCGCAGTAATCAAAGCGAGAGGGTATTCAATAGGATTCAATTCATTCTTGGTGGGTTTACAGTATGTATCATCTAACGTGCTAGAACAGGTGTAAAAAACAGTATTTTATGAGATGAATCAGCATTTTTATCCATCCTATTCAAAACGTGGAAATTTTATGAAAAATGAGGTCTATGAGGATCAGTGAGGGTCACCCGCGCGAGGGCTGGCGATGGTCGAGGGTCGGGTGAGGGTCAAAAATTTTGAGCTTACCCTCGCGAGGTGAAGGTCGAGGGTCCAGACCTTAGACCCTCGCGAGGGTAATTCCGAGGTCTAATCCCAAGCAGTCTGCTATTACGCCGTGAATTGGTACCGAGGACCTTGCCGATTCTCAGAATCCTGTCGGCTAATGATAGCCTTAATTTCCGCATCGCTCCCTACATCTCCTGGATAAGGCCTATGCGAAGATAAAGGCTTCACCAAATAACGATACCACGGAGCTCGAGTGGAAAGAGGATCGCGTACGAGCCCTACGTGCTCGACAGCAAAAGCGAGAGATTACTAATACACTAAATAAGGTTAACTAGTTCTCTTACTTCATACTATATAATGGTCACACTGATATCTATATAGCTAAGGTTCGTAGTCTTGCTGTCTACAGTAACGCAAGCCTCAACGCCGCGACACTTTCTACAATCTTCAAACCGACGAGCCAAAACTCGTTCCCATGGAATTCAACATATCTTATGCTTCGCCGGGCTAAGAGTCCCAATCAACTTTCGACTATTCTGCTCACAGTACGATCAGCCTCATTATACACTAAAACCGAAGAGTAGCTACAAATCGATTATATACCGTTTATCCTGCAGCTCGTTTTTTAAGTACACAACCGTCGATTGTACGACTAAAGATATAAGTATCCACATAGTCTTTAGTTTCTACAATAAGCTTTTTGATTATCTTAAAAATTCAATCCGTCAACTCCGACGAAAGAAGGTGCCATGGAAGCAATTAATGCTTTCCTCTTTTGAGGCTGCGCAAGAGAGGCTGTCGAAGTACTACGCTATGACAGATAGTATCGAAGGCGCTCTCTACACAGACCCTCCTTTGCCTGACACACAGCAGCGTGTATCTAGGAGGAAGGGCAAGCGCTCGAAGCTACTTAGGGCTATGTATTTGGATCTCAATAATTACTACACTGTTTAATTCTATATATCCTAAGTTGGCATTCGTACAATGATTTCTTATGATTTCATCTCTTGATTCTCAATTCTCTACTCTACTGCTATATTTAAAATTACAAATGATACCCAGAAATTCTCTCTAAATCCACATAATTTATGCACTGCAAGCAAGTCACGTTTCCTACCAGTTTGTCTTGTTCAGGGACCCTGAGGTGCATCCGCGGGTGAGGGCCAGGTCTAGCCGTGGTCCTGTCGAAACTCGTCTCGGAAAGCAAAATCTCGCGGCGGGCAAGATGTGACCGTCGAGCCAGGAACATCAAAGCGGAGAACTTCCTGTGTAAGAAAATTAGGAATAAATTCAAAGTAGGTAATGAGTACCACATATTGAAATTTATAGTCTCTCACAAGAGTCTGCCAGACTGGTTCCTTGCCGCAAATTTATGGCAGCGATCTCCAGGGTAGGCGTTAAGGATAGAATGGGAATCTGGGGATAGGTTGGGACTGGCGGCTTTTGTCTGTTGAGGGACAGCGACGCGGTGGGCGGCCCTTATGCCTAAGGGGCGGGCCCAGTGGACGTGTCCTGATAAGGTGTCATTTGCGGAGGGCAGGTAATCTGGCGCGTCTGGTGCGCTAGTTGCACAGGTTGGCGAGTGAAGAGGGAGAGAAATCCATTGAATTGCTCTTGAAATTTCCGGTTAACGCTGTGCGTCTTGGTCTTTGTTCGCTTCTCAATTCTGGGCGATTGTCGACTTTTCCTGTTAACGGATGGGTTGGTCCACTCGAAAAGCCGAAATATTTGAGACTGCTTCATGCGGTAGACTGCACATTCGTGGAGATTTTGAAAGATTTCCATAAGCTCTGGTGATGGCTTGCGGGTCTTTAGATCTAGCAGATTGAAGGGGCAAGATGCCAGACCACCACCTTTTTGAATGAGGAGCTTCACTATCTGAAGATGTCCTCCCCGGACAGCAGCATCGAGTGGAGAACGAATCTTCCATTGCTTTATTGTAGGGTTTTCAGACAAGGAACCATCGTGCAGAAGAAGGCTACCTTCATAAGAGCATTTGTTTGGGTCAGCTCCAAAGTCGAGGAGTAGAGACACAGCCTCATGATCGTCACTGTTGGCGGCAACAAACAGTGGCAACTGCCGATGGAACAGGTCTGGTGCGTCTGGATCCGCACCAGTTTCGAGAAGAAATCGAATTATTTCAAGATCGTCCGTTGGATATACCTGGCGTTGGATGATCGCAACAATTAGAGGGTTGATATAACCGCCACAGTTGCTTGCTGCAAATTCCCTCTCCTTCCCGGCAAAATAACAACCCTCGTCAAGTTGACCGTAGCGAGTAAACTTATCGATCGCTGTGATGAGTTGATGTATATTGGGAATCTCTTTTATCAGGTCCAGTCTCCCCATGCGGATTGCATGATAAAGGGCTATTGAGCCATCCTGGTGGGAATCGAATACACGTGGGCGTAGGTTGTGGTAGAGACCCGGACAATGGTAAGCGATTAAGAGGTGGTAGAGATCAAACGCACCCAAGTGTGGCGTTATATGGAGAACAATCTCTGGCGGAAGCTTGTCCATCATGAATTCAAAAGTAAGGTCTAGACAAACTTAGGTTGAATGGATGGCGAGCAGTCCTAAAAGATGGTGACGCACAATGGAGCTGATGGCGTGGCTTGCTTTTTAAGGGCATTGGAGAAAAGAAAGTCACGTGGACATTTCGAACAGGATGTCCCGGGCAACAATATAGTGCGCAACAATACAGTGTGTGTGTGTGTGTGTGTAATTCATTTACGCTGACCCCTCGCTAAGCGATATGCAGCATACAACAACTATATATCAATGTACGTACATGTATCGTGTACCACTTCTTAAACGATCTTGGAGCCTCGTTGGGGCCTGCCGTGGCCTGATAGGATTGTTCGGATTTGGTTGCATCTCTGCTAGGAAGCGCGAGAATGCGGGCAATGCTGATGTCAAAAATTTGGACAATGACTTTGTTGCGGATACGGGTTTCTTGCGAATTTGACTAGCTGAGCGTTTCCTTGTCTTGGACTCGAGCTGGAACGGTGATGGTTTGTTGTAAAAGCGGCGATGAAGATCTTCTATTGTGAGTATAGGTCTAGTGGGAGGGACGGGTTCTCGGGTTCTAGGAATTGATCGTGGTGAAGTCGTGGTGGGGTGCTGGAGGACCGAAGCATAGGTTGGCTGATGGCTTAGGGGTAGGGTAGTGATACTTGGTGTTGGATGGGGAGGCTGAGGAGAGACGGTCGGTGGAGGTAAACGTGATTCTGGGTCGGTTGTGTTGGATGGCGGACGAGCACGGGAGTCGTTAGAGTATTCCTCTGCTGTAGGAGGCACCTTTTGTGCTGGTTCGGCTTGTGTTTGTGTACTCGCGTCGGTGGTCGTCTTCTTAGGTTGTTCGCGCTTCGAGGAAAGAAAGGGGCTAGGGTCTGACCGAGGCGGAGGGAGTGTATCGGTTGAAGAGGAGAGCGTGTCGGTGGAATCGAGATGTTGTTTTAAGTCACTGGAGATGACCTTCCATATGCAGTCTGCTCTATGTAGTTGCTGTATCTCTTGGAAAGGTAGGCGCTGGAAGCTGTCTAGGCGTTTGGCTGATTGACACGCAAAGCAGCAAGCCAGGCCGCCACCGGAGAAAGGTTGGTAGTGAAAGCCATTCTTGGCCAGCTGAAGCGGGGTGACGCCACTGAGCACCTGTCCGCGGAATGACAGCGCTCTGGCCGTGATGGTGGAATAGGTGGTCGAGATAAAGAATTTCTCCTGTGTGGTCCGTTGTGGGGCAGGTAGCTCGGGTGGAGTGGGGGGAGTCGCGGATTTGGAGATAGAGGACGGTCGGCGGAGAGGTGGGAAAGGCTTCCTGCCTGCCCTGGGATCTGGAGGCTGGGGATTCATCCTTTCCTCTAGGCCAACTTCCTCCAGTGCCTGAACTACAGTCCCTCTATGCTGTACCTGGGAATACAGTCGTTCCGCAACAATACAGTGCGTCTCGAAACCGGTGCCACCACCTACACCCTTTCAAATATTCCTGTATCAGTCTTAATACAGTAACTTACTCTAATCTTCAGACGTTGCACTGTTTGTGTAACTGAGTTGGCGATCCAAGAAACTAATATTTTTCAGGTCTGCCCAGGAACTTGCTTTCTGTTTTCCCCACCACCACCTCCCCCTCATTCCCCGACATCTCGTCATTCGTCACCTGCTCATTATCTTTCTTCCAGTCCTCATACATCCGATACAAGTACTCCTGGGCCGCCGGATGGTTACGATAGTATGTCTCATGATTAATCTCACAGACATACCTAATTCAACCACTTCTGAATCCTTGCAAAATCGGTAAATCAAGAGGGCAGGATACTGTTAGCCATTTCCGATATCAAAGATGGTCGAATCGCATCTCTTCGCGCAGCAGCAAAGCTATATGATATACCCTACTCTACATTGCATGCGCGTGCCGATGGCCGAATCTCACGCGGTGACACACGCCCAAACGGCCATATATTAACTCAATACGAAGAGGATTTCGCTAGACATGGGCAGTTGCTCGGCTATCATACATGGCACAAAACTTTCAAATAGCCCAGATACAATTTTGGTCAAAATTGGTGGTGTATGCCACAGCAATTTAAACAACCCAAACGGCTGCGGCTAGCCGAATTTACGCAGCATCAGATGGTTTAGGGTGCGGAGCCCAAATTGCGCGCAAATAACGAGCGACGCGATTGTAAACTCGATCTTGTTCTCCGGTTCCTCGAGAGGAGCATAGAGGAGCGCCAAAAGTGGGTCCTGTCGGGGTAACGCCTTCCCGCTGAGCTTGCTCATACCAGCCTGGCGGATAATCTGGCATTGGATGGGTTGGTGCAGGAATACGATCGATTGAATCTCTTGATAATGTTTTGGAAGAATTTGTATTTTTGGTTCGGCTAGAAGATATTAGTCTCAATCAGCAAACAGATACAGTCCCCTGAACTTACAAAGGATACTTTTGGATATTCCTCCATGCACATAGGACGGACTCTTTCTGCGCTATCTCTTGGTATGGTAAAGGATTCATCGATTTCAAGAGAAGGGAATTAAACCCGCCGTCCTTTCCTTCAATAATCCACTGCGCGCAAAACTCGAACAACCTTGGATAATACCCAGCAGATGCCCAGTCAATGAGGCAGAGAGAACCATCTTCCTGCCATAAGATATTTCGAGGCGCTATATCTAGATGGCAAAGCACTAGCTCGCAGCCCTGGAAAGTAAGTTTCGGATTATGTGCAAAAAGCCGGCTATTGAACCACTTCTCCATCTCGTTAATACTGTCGAAAACCAGATCTTCAGTCTCCGGGAAGAGAAGCCCGCGACAGATCCCGCCAGAGAGAGGCCCGGGGATGTCATGTCGCAATGTTGCGAAATAATCAAGCACACCCGCAACCTTTTCTATGGCGTTGATGTCTTCCAACGGATCGATAACCTTCCCCTCTATGTACTCCATCACAATATAGCCCCAGCCCTGCTCGTCGGAAAAAAAGCGTACACGCGTGGGATATGAACGATGCGATTATCCACAAGTTCATACGCTATTCTTTGATTTTCAGCTTCTTCTTTCGTGACATCTGGGCCCCATTTGACCACTTGGTCGTCAGAGATCTTGATAATGCGATTTCCGTACTGACTGATAATATTGTCAGGCTGCGGTTTTGAACAAGATGCTATCACAGAGGCTCGAAATTCTCCCGGAAGTGACATGTCTTCAATAGGGTTGCGGAAACAAAGAACTTGCCGCTTAGAAGCCTCTGAAAATTAAGATCAAAGGTGCAAAGAACGAAACGAAGGGGCTAGGGTTCGGATCTGAACCCTCACACCTGCGAGAGATGTGCGAGACAAAAAGGGCTTGGAAAAGGCGATACAAACTTTCAATGCGGAGCGGAGCGGTGTAAATACGCGCCAAGGGGGCAGAACAGGGGAGATTTACTGACCATTGGCACCAAGTTTGATGACGTAATGCCTTGAAAACCCTGAGTCGGCTTGAGGCACAACTCAGTGACTCTAGCTTAGGTCCGTTGATTGGCTTGGCTTATTAACGGGTGTATGCCAGTTATCGTCCCACTCCACGTTCCGACCTCTCATCTCATTTCAATCCTAAGGGACCGTGCGTGCCTTTCACACATCCAATCTTGCTAGTCTAAGAACGATTTTCCCAAGTTACCGCCCCTCAACTGGTTGGTGCTTGCAGGGTTCCTGAGATTTACGCTAGTGAGTATGGCCCCAGCGCCTTTCTTGTCGAATCGTATACGTGATTTCGAGTCCTTGTAGCCGCCTGCCCAGTTACCCCAGTTCTGTATCCCATAAAAAATCGAAGGAGCCACAGGATCCAGCCTCCAACCCGAATTTTCTTCGAGAGGTTCCTCGATTCTTACCTTTTCACTATGCCGTCTATCCCATTGCTTCCGGACGTCGTTCAAGCGGACACCACGCCAGTCACGCATGTCCGTGTGGTGGTACACACTCTTGGTGCAGCAGGTCCTAATACCAGCGACAATCATTGGTCCATCTACTTGCTTCATTCTGATCGTGTCTCATCAACTCGCATCAACATGAGAGCAGAGTTTGAGGATCCAAGTGGGAAACTCGATTGGACTAAACATGCCTACACCCAGACCACATCGGCCATCAGGCATTGGGACTTCCCAGTTGCCGCTGGAATCACTGTATTATACTTCGCACGTCTCATCTACAGCCGTCGCCGCGATCGATATGAGATGTCCGGTGGAGGTTCAGGCTGTCGGTGGTGGGTGTAAGTTGAGGGAAACCTTCGACAGCAACGTCCGAGACCATTCTAAGGCTAATGTACCAAAACAAAGTTACAACATCATATCCGATCTGGCACAGGAAAATTATATCCACCAGAGTGCCCCAGGCACTATTTGGCCCAATCTGTTGTATCTGTACCACATGACTAAGGAACCAAAGCCACTGCGCATGGTTCAAGGAACGTTCTATTAGAGAAACTCCAGAATCGAGTGTACGTCAGTTATGGTGTCTCAGTCAGAGAAGCCCTCGTAGGATTTTGTCAATGCACACGGGAGAAGTGGGAAACGTCGAATTTTGATTTTCTGTAGCACAAACCGTCAAAGTAGGATAAGGCGAAAGTAACGTCGAATTGAAAGACAGGTTTGAGTAGATATACTGCGATGAAAATAAAAATACCGAGTGTGAGTTAGTCCCTAACGTAGTTCACGGCTGACTGGTGGCCAGCTCACTTGTGTGGCTGGTTCGCCTGTGAATTACGTTAAATTAACTGGCCCTCTGGTTGGGCTCATTGATTAACACGGAATATCCATGTCTCCCACTTCCGGTATCACACATGGCTTGTGTTTGGTCAATTTTGCTTGCGGCCACGGATAATTATTTCACCGTTCAGGCAGTATTTGGATGCAATGAGTTACAGGAGCTGGTCATGTGACCTTCATCCCCTTACTTCCCGGAACATCTCGTCTCAGATCGAGGTACACAGCACCTCAGTTGAGCTCACTTTGCTGGGACGGCCAGCACAAATGTATGCGAACTGTCTATATGGCTACTCTTCCTTTGCTCAGACGGAACAAGATTTCGTTGGAAGATGCCCTGGCCGACGACGATAATATCCTGCACCGTCTGGACTACCCGCAAAAGCAGCATGACTTCTGTTCATATCTACTGAGCCACAAGACGGACATCGAATCTTTGGTTTCATTCCATCTTGGCGTGAATTTATGTGAAATTGCCGACGAGGTTGATTGGTTGTTTGGGAGCTACAACGTGTGCATTCCAGTCTACGTAAATCGGCCTTTTGGCGAACGTGTCCTAATTCGAATCCCACTGCCTTTCAAAGTTGGGGAAGAGAAGCATCCTGGGAATTCAGATGAGAAACTGCGCTGCGAAGTGGCTACATATATTTGGATTCGCGAAAATTGTCCGACCATCCCAATACCTTTCCTTTATGGGTTCGGGTTCCTCAATGGGCAAACTGTGAGATAATACCCTTTCACCTTTTATTTGATTGGAGGTGCTTAATTACTTTAGTTTACCTATGAAAAATCCATGGGTGTCTGTACTCAATGGTATCACCGTATGAAACGAACGATACGATCAGTGCTTGGGTACCCCAGGGCATCTCCATTTATCGGCACGAAGGGAATCGGTTCTCTGCGCATCGGATATATGATTATCAGCTTCGTTGAGAGTGGCAGCATGCTGTCTGACACTTTGTCAAAATTCCTTTTGACGGACAAGACTCGAAGGCATGCTCTTTTCAGCGATCTTGCAAAGATCATGCTCACACTTAATCAAAATCAATTCCCACGTATTGGATCTTTGACTTTAGATGATGATGGCTTGATTCATTTGAAAAATCGTCCCCTAACGCTGCGACTTCAAACTTTCGAAAATGAAGGCATCCCTACCATACCAAGGAACTCTACGTATCAGTGCGTGGAGCCGTACATCTTGGATCTGTTGCACTGTCACGACAACCGCCTTCTCTACCAGCCAAATGCTATTCATGATCTTCACGACGGCCAGGAACAGCTTGCTGCTTTGACTATGATGCGAAGTCTATTGCCTCAGTTCATTTCTCATCAATATCGCGACGGTCCATTTCTACTCACACTTACCGACCTCCATCCAAGTAATATCTTTGTGGATAAAGATTGGCATATTACGTGTTTAATAGACTTGGAATGGGCATGCACTCTCCCCATTGAGCTACAGACACCACCGTACTGGTTGACTGGTCGACCTATCGACGATATTGAGCATGGGGAACATCTTCAAAGTTTCCAATCTGTCATGTTTGAATTCATAGAGGCTTTTGAACAGCAGGAAAAATCTATCCGTACGCTTGTCACTTCTCAAGCTGAGATAATGAAAAAATGCTGGGACAGAGGGAGCTTCTGGTATTTTCAAGCTGTCCATAGCCCTAAGGGCCTTCTCAGAGTGTTCAACGAGCATATCCAGCGAATTTTCTGTGAAGAGCACTGCACTCAGCGAATATTCGATCGGACGGTAAGCCCTTATTGGTCCGTGGACGCGGGGAATTTCATTCAAGAAAAGATGGAAGAAGACGCGGAATACAAGGATCGGTTGAGGGCTCGTTTCGAGGAGATAGGTCATTGATTCCTGCAGACATGTGTCTGGCTGAACAAGTCTACCCATTGTACCCGGATGTGTGCTCTGGTTAGAGACTAGTTGACGTGGCCTTCAGGCGAGTACTGTACCTACCGCCTAATCTTTTTTGTTCAATTTTCTTTTTCTCTGTGCCTCTGATCCCGAAGATATGACCTGATCGATGTTTGGATTATTCGCAATTTGCTGAGAGGGCAGCTCAATGTCAATACAAGAGCGACGAGACTGGCTCAATTATGAAGGTTATTGACAGAGCTGGCAGCTATTCCTTGTGCGAAGGTTATCCCCCTGCAGTAACACCGTTGCCTATTATCACGTGCTAGGGATATCAGCATGCAATGTCAAAGACTGCTCATATACCTGTAAGATAACCAATCTGGGCGCTTGCCGGAGTAACTAAGTCATTGGCTGCGGCCTCTCCGTACGTTTTCGTCGCCACATATGGCCAATAGCCTACCTAGCCTTTTAACTTAGTACATTGATGAAGTAATTAATATCTCACACATCCGTAATCGCACTAAAAGGCGCAAGCGGACAGTCGAGGGGATATTTGGCTGATCCTCAGCCGCTCGTTGAACTATCAATGCGCTTTCATGATTTGGATAATTTAACTCTCCAAGCTGGAATTTCCATCGCCTCTCTCAGCCCATATAGAGCGATAACCGATCAATGGAGCTCACTGTACTAGCGCGCGTCGCGTACGCCTTATATGATTGTCAACCAAATGCCCACAATTGTAGCCGCACGCGGAGCTAGTTAACTAGCCGGGTTCCTGGAGGGTTAATTTGTGGGTTGCGTGGCCTATAGTTTGAAAAAATATGTCAAAAACGTGTTTGTGATAATTGTGCCCAATACGGATCGTTAGTCCATGGCTCGTCCTGAAGCGATTCACTGGCTGGACTTGTCCACCTAGTGACAGTCCGGCTTCTGGCAGTGTTCACCTCAGGGCCCATTAACAGAATCATCGTACCACTCGACAAGATCTGCAAGACCTTTCCAGCGGTCCAAAAAATATTGGTCACCAAGCAGGTGATTAAAACCGGTCCACGGGCATCTTGCTTGAGGGTGTGAGGTGTTTCCCAGACTGTACACGTCACGCAAATATTTTGTCAATTATGTATTCACCGGAAGGGAAACTCCGTCTGTTTCGTGCTTTCTGGATGAGTTTCCTAGGTTGCTGTATAGCGATACCTGTCCTTTATGATGATGAAGAAGTCATTTGCCCCATGTCCACTAAACAATCATTCCTGGGGGCTTGCTAGGCGGAGGCCCTGAATGATCACTCGTTCTATATCAACCTACTACCGCTAGATTTGAAGCGCCTAATAATCGTCAAGGTCGTTTTTATTCGTAGACCCAAACTGATATTCTCAGGATGCAGTTGAGAAGGTGGCTGCGGTGATGAACGTTCAAGAGCTGCACACGGGGTGTGGTAAAACGTGGGCGGGGGAATTCGTGGGCAAAAGGGGGTTGTGTATGGTGTCTAGGATCTAGTTTTAGCAGGGGGAATACCAGCGTCCCAACTTATGTAACGCACGGCACTCGTAACATTTTCAAACGAGGGCTCAACGAGCCAACTGCTGGATGGAGTGAGACACCGCAGGGATTTTTAGGGTGCAAATAAACTCCAAATATAAGCGCAATGGAGCAAATCAAAACAGCCATTACGTAGAAGAACGGCGAAGAAAGCGAATAGGCGGCAATCTGAATTAGCTGTAACTGTAACCTGCCCTCCCCGCCTTGTCTACACCTTTGACCCGCTGCAACAACCTTGTTTAGTACTCGACTGACGGCCAATCATTTAGCGCTGTTGTGCTCAGACTTAACGAGGCGAGAAGAAGAAGCGGTGAAGGCACTGTACAATTAGTTATGGCGGAGTCCACCCTGGAGTCTGCCGTGCAGACTGGGTCTCAGAAAACATAGTCCACGCGCCCACCCCAACTTCAAAAACTTGTGATCCAATCATTTCGCGCCGTCGCCGTGCCTAGGAGGGATACGTCGTTCACGTCCCTGTCAGCAAATACCCCGGGGGACGAAAGGAACTGGCCGAAATCAAAATGACCATGCATCACGGCAGGCACCGGCGAAAGCTTTCTAACTTTAGAGCAGACCAGACCTGGTAGCGTGATATTCATGTTGAGTTATAAGTGACGCTTCAATGTTTGTATAGTTGATAGGAATTGATTGTGTGTTCTGAGTACAAACAAGCTGGTAGCCAGGTAGACATATATACATGCACGTGCTCACGTTCCCGTGACTACATCAGTGACCGTGATATTCAACACTCCCACTCGCTGATTTCCTTCGTCATAAAGGATGTCAGCGACACTTCATCACGGTTGCTAAGCCCCATTAAAACCCCCCAAAAACCCGTGGTAAAAAGGAGGGAAAGGGTGCCTGCATGTTGCGTTTTGGTTTGGTTTGAAAGCTGGTGCGTCATGAGAGTATCACTCAATGCCGAGACCCTTTCGAAACCATTCAAATCTGTTTCGGGCAAGGGGCTTCGTCAAACCATCAGCAATCTGTTCCATTGTTGGGACATATCTCAGTTCTACTGTCCCAGAGTCTTGAACTTCTCCTTGCCACTTTCGTTGGATTTCCATATGTTTTGTACGCGAATGGTATTGAGGGTTCGAGGCCAGCGCAATGGCTCCCTGATTGTCGCCGCAAATGATTGTTGCGCATTTTCCTTGGCTCATGTTCAGTTCGTGAAGGAGTCTCCTCAACCATATAGCTTCCTTAGTTGCTTGTGTCTGGCCAATGAATTCTGCTTCGCAGGTTGATAGGGCGACAGTGCTCTGTCGTTTCGACTGCCAGCTGATCGCTCCACTTCCGATGTTGAACAGGTATCCGGCCGTCGACCGTCTCGTTTGGCGACAGCCAGCCCAATCTGAATCTGTGAAACCACGAAGCATCTGGAGCGGGCCTTTGTATGTGAGGCTGAGAAATATGGTGCCTTTGAGATACCGAAGAATACGTTGGCCGAGCTTCACGTGTTGTGGACCAGGGTTTGCCAAATGTCTGCTTGCCGCTGAGACGGCATATGCAATGTCACCCCTGGTTCCAAGCATGATATACATCAGCGATCCGATCATGCGCTGATACTTGTTCTTCAGGCTTGAGGGGCAGACGTATTCGGGCCCGTTTTCTGGCAGAGGTGAAGTGTCTATAGGCGTGCTGACGGGTGCACAGTCTGACATGCCAAATTGCTGGAGGACCTTGTGCACGTAAGCCTCTTGGCTGAGAAAGAGGATTCTATTCTGCCGGTCCCTCCGGATGGCCATGCCGAGATAGTAGCTGCATGGTCCTAGGTCTGTCATGTGAAAGCGATTTCTGAGGCTCCGTTTGATCTTCTTTATCTCTGCAATGCTTGGCCCGACGATTAAGAGGTCATCAACATATACTGCAATGTACATGCCACTCCGAACAAAGATGCTGAGATCAGCGTTGATGGGCTCAAAGCCAAGGCCCCGAAGGAAGTTGGTAAGAGTCTGATACCAGATGCGAGGTGCTTGTTTCAGGCCGTAGAGTGCTTTGCGGAGCTTACAGACCCTAGATGTGCCATCCGTAGTGTGGTGGGGCTGTTCGACATAGATCTCGTGGTCAACCTCGCCGTATAAGAACGCTGTTTTGACATCCATCTGCTCGATCTCGAGATCAAGGGCTGCTGCAATTGCGAATAGAGCCTTGTAGCTCATCGGTTTGACCACCGAGGCGAAAGTTTCGTCATAATCGACACCCTCCTCTTGAGTGAAACCTCTGACCACCCATCTGCACTTGTAGCGGACGATCTCTCCGCGAGCTCCTCTTTTCAGTTTGAAGATCCACTTCCCGCTTAGGACTCGGCGATCGTTGGGCAAGTCAACGAGTTCCCAAGTTTTGTTTTGCTTGAGCGATTGTATTTCTTCGGTCATTCCCTTTTCCCATTCGAGCCATCGTGGATCATTCTTGGCCTGACGAAGGGACTTTGGTTCAAAGGGTTCAGTCTCTTCCGCAGCTACGGTCAAGAAAGTTGGAATCACATTCTCGTCAGGGACATTCATCAATGCAAGTTCTTCTTCATCATAATCAGATGTGTCTTGAGAGATTTGTGTTTCTCGGAGTTTGAGTTCAGGGTGACGTTCAAGTGTACCTTGTGGCACGATGTGTTCTGCACCACCCTCTCGAAGCTCAGAATAATTCAGCCAATCTTGTGGAATTCGCCCTTGCTGAGCATCGCCTTGTTGCTGGTCACCGCCGAGTGGTGAGTCAATCCCCGGGACGGAATCCTCTAAAGAAGATGATAAACACCCGAAGATATCGTCACTCCGTGTTGGTGAAAAGGTCCTTTCTCCTTGTCCAGTAACAGTGGGCTGCGAGTTATTATTACTCGGCTGAGGCATATGCTCTTGCACTTTGTCGTCCGATGATCTAGGCTGTGTTTGCCCTTGCGGCGCCAGGGATGCTTGGCGTCCCGAGGCTGGCACGGATGCATGTCGCACACTTGCCGAAGGTTGGTTTACTAGTCCCACCGTCTCACTCCCCCCTGAGGCAGCAGCCGTTGCCCCAGGTAAGCTCTGCTGATCGGCTCCCACATCTTCTATAGTCTGTGTGGAGGGTGTGCTGAGAACTTCATGAAATTCTGCGTTTGGTGTACCAATGATCCTGCCGTCTTCCAGTAGGATGCGGTAGTTCGTATTTCCTTCGTATCCCAGTAGCAGACATGGCCTTGTTCTTGGTCCTGCCAACTTCTTTCTTTGTCTGGGTGGAATGAGGTACTCTCCCTTGGATCCAATGACTCTCAGCCGCGATAGGTCGGGCTTGTCACCATACCAAGCTTGGTACGGAGTCATGTTACGTTTGGATGATGGTGATCGATTCGAGAGGAAGGCCGCCGTCCGCGCAATCTCCGGCCAGAACTTCGGCGGTAGTTTTGCATGCGCGAGCGTTGGTCCGACTCGATCGTAGATTGTCCTATGGGCTCTTTCTGCCACTCCATTCTGTTGGTGCTG